GCCCAATGTGCTCACAAAGCAGCAGCAGCAGCGGCGCCCACCACCGTCACGTGACCGCCCCGCGCGCGCCTGCCTGCCTCGCTCGCTCGCCCGCGCTCTCTCTCTCTCTCTCTCCCCCTCCCCCTCCTCCTCCTCCTCCACGCGCGCGCGAGGCCGCTCCCCCGCCACGTGACGTGACGTGACGTGACGCGCTCGCCTACCGCCTCGCCTCGCCTCCCCTCCCCGCACCCCCCCCAACCCTCTATGCTCCCGCGCGCCTCGCCCCTCACACACCACCAGCGCACGCCCATCCACCGGCCCTTCCGCCTACCCCCTCCGGCACCACGTGAGCAGGGAGAGTGAAGCCGGCCCCTTTCCCCCGTCACGTGACCGGGGCACGGCGCGCGCGCGCACACACCCACCCCCCCGCCCCAGGGCGCGCGCGGCGGAAGGGGACGGTTGGCCCCGCCTATGGCGGCGCTGAGGGAGGCGCGGGGAGTGTCGCGCCTCCGTGAGGGGCTGCGGGGCCTCCCTGCTCCCGGTGGGCTTTGTCGCCGGTTTGTCGCCGCGGCAGGCCCCGGGGCAAGGCTGCAGCCGCTCCTGGGTTCGCTCCGTGGAGGGTTGACGCGCCGGCGGAGCCCGACCGGGAAGGGGGCTTCTGCGGGGACGGGTGGCCCCGCCTGAGTGCTTTGTCAGGCCGCGGTGAGGTAGAGCTCCAGCGCCCCCCGGGCGCCGCCTGGTCCCTGGGTGGGCGGGTGGGTTTAGGGGCAGGGTGAACGTTCAGAAACGTGGCTCGGTTCCTCTCTCGCTGGCCGAAGGAGTGATTCGAACCAGGAGCTTTTTTTTTTTTTAGGTTTTTACTTGTTATTTTAAGGTGGGTTTTTATTTTCTGCTCTGCAGGGTTTTGGCAGGACTGATTGTGAGTGGTTTATGTCGCAGATTAAAGCCTGTTCAGGTTGCCACGTTATATTCATTACACATGGTGCCTCGGTCCCAGACAGTGTTCAGGCTGAGCCAGCACAGGCTTTCTGGAGCTCCCTTGTTCCTTCTCTAGTTGTTCTCTTGGGGGCTTCATCCCAGACCTATTTGATATCCCAAACAATCCACCTGACTAGAGAATCAAAAGGCTCCTTCACATTTTCTCTCCATGGTTGCTGAGACCAATGCCTGAGTGGTCAGGAAACTGGAACCAATTCCACACTTACATTAGTTTCTTCTAAGTGTTACACTCTTTTGCTAGGCTGGATGCAGGTAGGCACCCCATTGACATAGACGAATCCCAGGACAAAGGATAGCTGTGCCACAGGAGGAAAAGGTCAAGGAGAGTATGCTAGGGATGAACAGAGAACGGCAAGGGAGTGGCAGAGCAGAGGTATGTCAGAGCACTTGGTGCAGCTTCTGGCAACCTAAAGTGAATGGTGACAGGACAGATGGCAAGGAAGGAAGGTTGCTCGAGTCCCTAAGAAGAGGAGTTTCAGGTGGTGAGCCAGGAAAAAAATAACTTTTTTCCCTTTAGGCTTTTTCCTGCTGTGCATTTTTCCCATTCTGTATGGCACCTCTGGTTGCCTGAAATGTAGTGGGTTTACCCTTCCGGCATCCCGCCTTTGTAAGGCCTGGCATTTTACGGCAGGGCTCACTTAGCTGATGTGGAAATTGGTATCTGCTTGGCACTCTGCTGAGCAGGCAGGGTTGGTGAAGAGGATGGGGGCACCAGATACCAGACTATTTGTTCAGCCCCTGGTGCCTCCAGTGAGATGTCCTATGGTTTTTGACCTTTTCTGTGGTCTTATTTCCTTTGCTGCTGTTTGCTCATCCTCTATCCCTTGACCCCATACTCTCCACATAAGTAGAGAGGGCATCAAATCTCATTTTACCCAAAGCAGTATCTGAAAATTAATCGGTGTTGTTCATGCTTCTGCCTTCTCTTTTTAGAGTAGACAGATTTAAGTGGCGTGCGTCCTGGACTGACCTTGATATTTATTACATAGATGGGCAGGAGCTACAACAGTTCCTACCGCTCAGAAGCAGCAAGACCTCCCTATTCCTATCTTTTCCCAATAAGATAGAGGGTCCTTTAAAGCTAACTTGAAATTCAGACCAAACAGGGCACAGGTAGTGTTGATTTTCTTGAGGCAGCTGTTGGTATTTTGTTTTATTAGTATTGGGGAGAGGGAATTAATTATAGCTCTAAACAAAGTTTCACAAGCATTGTGACAAACATGTCTGCGGCTCCATAATCTGTGCAGATTTAATCAGTATTATTAGCATTCTTTCATCATGACTTGGCAATCCTTTGCTAATCAAGATGGATATTTGATGTGCAGCATGGAACAACAAAGGCTGAGAGCTCTTGGGATGCTGTAGTCAGATGGTGTGGTTCCAGCTGGAGTGTGTCTCTGAATATCACACAGAATCCACCCCAGGAGCATTTGGAATAGGAGAAAATTAAACAAGGATACCAGGACTAAAGCATTGTAGGCTCCTCTCTGCTGTACATGGAGTAAATATAAATGAGAAAATGGCATATTTCACTGCCAAAGCTTCCAGAGGAGAACTAAAGGAATAAACAGATGGAGGCTTGGGGATATAGACCCTCACTCCAAATATTAAGTACCTGGGGCTTGGAGAGGAGACCCTGCACTAAACACAGTGAAGGTTTGACTAGGCCTGGCAGGCACATTCTACCTGCTGCCTGTGTCAGGACTTTACCTGCTGTTACAAGGATCTGTGACCTTTTCAGTTTTCCAACTACTAATGAATAATGCAGCACAGGTGCAAATCCCACCAGACTGTGTTTTTAAGCTTACTTCAGGATTGCTTTTCTCAGTCACATACTGTAGATTTCTTAGATAGCTAGCACTCTGGGTATCACAGGCTGGAAACCACCATTCTAGTGCTTTGGCATTCTATTTGCCAGTCACATTTGGGAGTAGGGGGAAACCACTTGTGTTAAGAGTATCACCCTGTTCCTAGTTCAGAAGTCTGCTCTACCTCTGTGTTACAGACAAGAAAAAAAAACATCTATTCACAGGCTGGGGCTGCAGTGTATCTTACCTCTTGCTAATGCTCTCTTCTACTTTCCACACTACCAATCCTTGCCTCTCAGACTCATTGCAAAATTAGTCCAACTGAGCTGAAGTTTAGAGCAGTTTTTCACAATTTAGTGTGAAGGTTTTATTTTCTTTGTGCCTGTTGTTTCCCCCAGTTACATCACTTTGTCTTAACAAAAATACTGCTCTTCTCTGCAAACTGTTCTTACAGCTTTAACCCATGACACCTGCATCAACAGCACTGCCTTTCTCCAAAACATACTCCAGTAGCCTCAGAGAGACAACGTAATCCATTCATACCCGGGCTCTGTAATGGAGAGGCTCTGCCTGAAGAAACCAAGCTTGACTTTCAGGTTTGAGTTGAGTTTGCAGGGAATTAGGAATTCTCTCTAGTTATAGTGACGTGCGGAAAACAGACTCCACAATCAGTGAGATTGTAAAGTAGGTATGTTCATTCAGCACTGGGCAGCACGGGGGGTAGTCCCACCAAAGTCGTGTGCGCCCGACGCGGCAGTTCGCCTCAAGTTTGTACAGTCACGTATTACATATTCACGATACACCTATACATATGCATGACCTATCCCCGCTTCATATTAAAATTAGCTCCAAGAGGTCATTTCCATAGTCTCCTCTCAGCTGCGCCTGCGCAGTGCCTCTTTATGGTGGTCGTCTGGTGGTCGCAGAGATGAAGATAGATGACTCCTCTTCGTCACTGTTAGTAACCTCTTTCCTTGCGCAGGCTCAGTAATTTCTTGGTATTCACCCAAGCTGCAAGACCAGTCTTAGCTGGCTCTTGGGGCCTGCTCCTGCTTCTTATCAAGGACTGTCTCTACCTCAGCTAATTTCAACAATGTAAGCACTAAACATCATCTTTCACCCCCCTTTATTATGTCTACTGAGATTCTTTTGACTCCCGTCATCTCAATAGTGGAACAGTTGAAAATCTTAGATGCAAAGTGGGGCTGTGTGAAGAGATGTTGACCTTGGGCATATGAGAGATTGCTGCTGCATTTAGACTTGGGATGAAACTCGTAAAGATGCTGTCTAGAAATGGGATCCAATGCGTTAGATTGCATTAATATGCATGCAGAAGCAAGGCTGCAGCCACAATTGTACTTGAAAGGGTTGCCATTTCATTTGTGGAAGCAAGCCCTTCTAGTACAGGTGCCATTCACAGCGTTGAAGGCAGGAAGGGTAATGATATCATTGTGTCTAGCCTTCATACAGCCCAGGCCATTAAAATTCTTAACATCCACAGGCTGCATTAGTCTCTCATGTCTCAGTATCATCCTGGGAATTCATTTTGGACTGCTTGATCTTCCTTTAGAGACAGTGTGTGCCCGGAGACAGACCCTCTTCCATAGGTGCCCTCTGCAGCCCTTGGTCCAAGTTTTCTCACCTCGTAATTTGGCTGTATGAAAAAAGTTCAACACATCTGAGCCTGATACTGATCCTGCAGAATCTCGCTATAAGCACCTGTTTCGGGGAGGATGTTGGCAGTTGTTAATCTGTGTAGTGCATGCTCTGCTAATGGTGAGTGCTGAGTTTGTTCTGTCATACTCCCCGATTAATTCTGTGACGTGCCCACTGTTACCTTTATTAGCCAAACAATCTCTAAGAATTAAA